ATATGTGTTGAATGAATATTTAATCTTTCTGTTTTGCTTGTATTTATAAGTAAGTTGTAATTGGAAATGGAGTAAGTTGTAAATGGAGACATTTAGTCTTCTCTACTTACTATTCCTCAAGGACAGTGCTCAAAGGAATCTATTATTCCTATAAGTAACTTCATGAAGAGTTTTGATTGTGGTCTCTGTAATGAATTGTTGGTATTTTCAGGACAAAATATCTTTAGTGAGTTTCTCATTTTAATTGAAGAACTCATGGACAAGTTGGGTTATAGTCTCGTCCTTAGGCTTTGACTGTACAATTCAGCATATAGCTTATGTGTATTCTTTGGATAGTGATTTGGAACATTTATATGCATGTTAATAGGTTTCAATTATCATCATATCCTGGCCAAGTGGGCTTCCAATGAATCCAATTATGCCTTTGGTTTAAAGAACATATATGTATGTAAAAGTCATTAATAGAGACTAGAGGGATCATAAACATCTTTAAAAGACCATTTAGGTTTGTTTCTGGGTTCATACAACTCTGAAACAGACTACAGGGAAATCCTCACTATGGCAAGCTAATTTGAGGGAAAACCAGTATAAACTATGATATGTCAGAATTAGAGAATATTCTAATTTGCTGTACAGAAAATATTTACACAAGCCAGGGATGAATATTCTGTGGCCAAGACCTTATAACTAGATCTGCTTTAATCATTTCATTAATTGTCTGAAATAGTTGTTACTGGAGTGTGTGTTGAAGCAGTTTGTTTTCTTACGATTAATCACCCCCTGTGAAGTTTATATAATTAGATTAAACTCTCTTTCACCAAAGGTGAAGTTAAGCCAATTCTCCATCTTGGAATTATCAAATGTTTCAAAGGCACAAAGTCCAAATCAATTAGATTTTCCTGGAATAACATAATAAACATATAAGTTAAGTGATAATAATGGTGATTCCTACTGTTCGATCACATAAACCATAAATGCTTTTATAATTTTTCCACTAGCCCCCTTGAAAATAAAATGAGACAATACAAAATTTAAAAAGAAAAAAAGAAATTCCACTCCACTGTGAAAATAGAATTTCCACTGATGATGAAGGAGTATTAGGCACTTCAACCTGAAAGTGAAGTAAATATTTTTATTTGGTTGCAGGTCCAGAAAATGGGCCTCACAGAAGCTGCAAGGAAAGCTGGGAAAGGTCATGCAGTCTGTTTTTTTGCATTCTTACGCCATCATAGAGTCAATGCTACTCCAAACCTGGGAGAGCCTGAACCCGACAGTTACACATTCCCATGAGGCATTTCAGCTCCCTGCTCAGACAAAGGAGATCAAAGAAAAGGAAGGAATGGAAAGACAGGAATTTGTATTTTGCACTGGGCATAAGGCAACATGGGGCATGAGATCCTAAAATTAGGAAATGGCAAATAACTATTAAGGAAAATGGTAAAGTTTGCTGTGTGAACAGGTCTTTGCATTTCTGCCACTTCCTTCGTGGCACTTCCTGTTTATTTGTGTCACACATCTTTCCATGAAGGGTTTGAAATGCTTTAATAACTAATACATAAAACAAAACAAATGTTTTACTCCTGACACTCTTAGTCCAGATTCAAGCTTGGAGTTGTTCACAACAGGCTGACCAAGAAATTTCTGCCAACGGAACTAATCATTCACTGGCTTGATGATTAACACAGTGACATGCATTAAAAACCCTTGCTTTCTTTCCTATGTAGATAATATTGGTCCAGAAGAAGACAGCCTTCTTTCCTCCCTCCAAATATCAAAATCAATTTTGCCACATAAATATGGTCTAACTGGTTCATCTATCAACCATATTTAAAAGATACTCAAAGCAGAGTCTCCAGCGTTTCTTGGTTGCCTATTCCTTGTGGTTGGTAAAAGATAGTGTGAAAACTTTTTATTGTTTCAGATCGGACCTCCCAAGCCTGACTGAATTTTTAATGCCTGAGTACCTAAAGTAGTCCAAGAAAAACACAGCTCAAACCACCACATTTTACTTGCTTTCAGGTTTAAACCCTATAAACCACCACATTTTGTATGGTTTCCACCCCAAACCATAAATGGGCATGGAATCCCACTAGATGCTCTGCTCAGGTCTAGCTGAAATGTTTACTAACCTTGACAACATTTTTGGCTAACTTGTCACTAACCTGGAATGCAGGTGTAACAAACTGAGTTCTTAGCACTAGTTTTCTTCATTTGCATCCCTTTACTTGAACGCCTGCCACCCAATTAGGGACATGGGGCCATTGTATTGTCCTGGGTCAATCATTGCTACTTCCTCTGTGACATTCTACTGATGATTGCCTTGCCTTGGACCTTTCTCTTCCCTTCAAAACTTACCTTTTCTGTGTATTATTCCCTCAGGCTGAGCACTTTGAGGCAAATCAGATCAGTTTTTGGTAAGGTGTTAATGGATTTTTAAATCCTTAGAGAATTTGTAGGGCGGTAGATTATAAGTTTGTTGTAGGAAGGCAGACTTTTTCTAATTATTTAGACTTGTGAGATCAAATACAAGATTTTTTTTTGCAAAATGGGCAACTCCATGTCCATTTATCTCCATCTTCTAGAAATCCCCACACAGCAGATGCTCAAGGGATACTGGTTGACTGAATGAGTAAATTAAAGTAGTGAGAGATATGTATCTTGGAATCTTTTGATTCACTCTAAATTGTATTGCATAGGGAGCTGGCTTACCCTGTAGGCCTGGACCTATTTCATATGATCCCAGACCTCTGAATTTTTTATGGAGATTGGGGCAGGCATGGTTTTGACCTTCTTCATTCTGCTTTCTTTTTGTGCCCATTGTTCTAGAAGGGCATCCTTCTTCCTTTAAAGAGCCTGTGGGACAGAAGGGCATGAGAAGAGAGAATCTGCAGTAGGGTCATAGTTCACTAAGAGAAGAGCAGTCCTGATAATTTGGTTGGGAAGCCTTAAGAGAGTGAGGAAGCTACCTAATCACTTCCTGCTGTCATTCTTTCCCCACCAGAAGTAGGAGATCCCCTGATAACCACCAATATTGAAATAGACTTCTTGGAGTCCATCAGTGCTGGAAGGGGAAGTAATAGCAGTTTGGACTGACTACAATTTTTTATAAATAGTTCAAATGCCCCTAAAGTCATCATCATGAGAACTTTCACGACCTCTGTGGAAGGGGAAAAACCATCTCAACATGTTTATTTTATAATTTATAGTAAATTATCAATTAAATTTATTATTGAAACTGCTGTAAAATGAAAAGGATGCTCTTACTAAAGACTGAGGGGCCCTTGGACATAAAGGCAGTGTTGACTTTGTCTTCATTTGTTGCATCTACTGTTTTCCTCAGGAAGCCTCCAGAACTTTCCCAGTAATTTCTTACATTCTACTTGCTGTGGTTAGTCAGTATCTCTCCTAAAAATGTGACTTGGAAAGTTAAGAAATTGGTGAAGGTGCTTATACTTCATAGACCTCCTGGATACATCATCTATTAGCATTTTGCTGGCTTGGTTAGAGCTGTGACTGAAAATAGACTAATTTTCTAGAATTGGCTGCTCCTGAGAGACAAGGGAGATACTTTAACCTTGAGATAAATCAATTCTGAGCCATCCTAAACCCAGAATTCACATTCCCACCCACAAGCTCCCTCAAATTCTGTTTCTGAGTGGATTATCTCTGATGCTTGTTTATCTGATTTCTAGAATCTACTTTTGGCCTCCGGCACATTGACAGATAGAGGAAAACTATGTGCCGCCTGGCTACTGAATTCTGTTCCTGTAACAAAACAAGGTCAAAAGGCCTTAAAGTCCCATCCAGGAAGCATGCTCTTAAAGGTGTTGAATTTTGGTTTTTTAATACTCGATGGTTTAAAAAAGGTGGGTTTCAGAGTCAGATCTATTGAGAATGGAATCCTGGAACTATCTCTTTAGTAGCTTGAATCAAGTTGCTTTACTCTCTGAAACACTAGTTTCCTAGTACATAAAGTGGTGATAATTATAGTACCTACTGCATAGGGTGGTTAGAATTAAATGGAGAGTCCAGCCCATATATAGTAAGTGATCAACAAATGACAGCCATTATTGTTCAAAGTTTGGAACAGAAGATTTTCTAAGCAGAATGTCAAAATGTTTTTATTCAACTAACACATCTGTGTAGCCAGGATTCCGCTGTGGGCCATGCTGGAAACTGTGGCAGTAATGTCCCTTCACCTGGCTGGCCACATTCCTGGCCCATCCCCTGAATATCTAGCTTCTAGGTTAACTGGAAGTTGGGAGGCAGGGTCAGAACACTGCTGCACCCTCTGACATAGCCAAGACTAGAGCCCTGTGGGAAGGGGAGTGAGCCCTGGTACCAGTCCAGTTTGCCTCTGAAATTCCCAGCTGCATCTCTTTCCCAACTTTCTGGGGATTGTTTTCGGGCACAGTGCATTTCCAGTACTGTAGAGGTGGTGGCTGAGCCCACTGCCTGGGGCTGTGCTGGGTTTCTGGCCCTGCCCCCAAACTCCCAATGCTCTTCTGGCTCAACCAGAAGTTCAGGTGTGGGGTGGCCTGGTGGTGTGTGCTGGCCTGAGACAGGGGGTGGGGTGCAGTGGAAAACACTTGAGCAATGAAGCTACAGGACCTGGGAAAGCTGGCGCGTTTTGTTTTTTTGTTTTTCTTTTTTGTAAGTGGAATTTTATTTCATGACATTTGTCCCTTCTCCCTACTCTGAGATTTCAAAGGGTTTCAAACCCACTAGGAGCGTAAAGGCCACTGTGGGAAGAGAAGCCTGGAGGAAGAAGGAAGTTGAAATGGGCTCCTCCCTTCAACAGTGTCCCTTTGAGCACCTCTCCAACTTTTCTCTCCTCCTAGTGTTTTGTCCCTTCTAGTCTTTCAAGAATGTCCATTTCTGGCCATCTACCGAAACAGAAGCTGAAGTTAAAGGGCTGAGGGAACCTCAGAATTCTTGTTTTTTCATCTTTGTTCACCCTTCTAATCCTTTTTTTTTTTTTTGCTGTTTTTCCTTCTCAGAGCATATGAAAAGGAGCATTTCAGAAGAACATCAGAAGAAAGCAAAGTAGAGGGAAAGCAGGCTAGTAAAGTAAGGAAGATGGAGAGGAGGAAGAGGAAGGGTGGGACCCTCAATCCCAAGTTCACAGGAAATGGTCCCAAATTTCCTAAGGAGCAGCCAAGTCCTCTTGTCCTTTCAGAAAGGAACTTGCTGAAATTTGATAAAACTGGAAAGGAAAATCCAGTGGGGAAGAAAATCCCCCCACAAGACTAGCAATGATGTTAAACAGCTCAGACTGTTGAGGAAATCTGGACATATGCCTGTGATGACCCATCTAGATAGACCAAGAGGGTTAGTATTATCTCCTGATGTTGTTTTTGCTTTACTGGGGGGTGATAGCTGTGATATATTTTATGTATACAGTTAGAATTGCAACTATAGGCTTGCTAGAACAGGCTTTATTTTTTATTGAGCATAAATTTAGTTGCCATGTATTTAATTAATTTTTAGGATATTCAAAATAGCTACCAGTCCTGGTAGAGTCAGAGCAAAATAAAAAGATGATTCCTCCACTTACGTAAGCCTTAAATTAAGGAGGCCACCAAAATATGAAAAAGCTAACTAACTTAATCTTGATGGAGGTGGGGGAAATACACACACACACACACACACACACACACATACGCACATATATAAATACATGAGGTGATGGATGTGTTAATTAACTTGGGAATCCTTTCACAATGTATACATATATCAAATCATCACGATGTACACTTCAAATATCTTAACAATTTTGCCAGTTAAACCTCAATAAAAGCTAAAAAAAATTTAAGAAGAGTGTTTTTCTTTCACGGGACTCTATTGTTAATATGGATTTGCATAACAAACTTTCTAAATGTTATAGCAATGGTAAAAGAAACCCTGCTTTGAAAGAACTCTAAGTATCTCATTTCCCCAGCAGAGGGGCAGCCACCCACAGCCTGGGTGTAGCCACATTTATCTTTGTGCCTCCGGTGCTAGCACAGTGCTAGGCACATACCAGTGTCTCAAGCTAAACCAGACTGGTGGAGTACAGTGAAAGGGAAATTCTAAAGAGCAGTCATGCTCTGAGGAACGGAACATGTCATTGTTTGTTTATTTTAGCATTCTTATTGTCTTGGTGGTAATCTGGTTTAGAAATCTACACCCCTTTTTCTTCTGAGACTAAACACCAAGAATATTCTAATTAAAAAAAGGTTTTTTTGCCTCCATTTGTTGAGCACTTATTATGTCTCAGGTCTGTAAATATCCTGGGTGCTTAGTACTCATCACAGGTGATGTCACTTAATGCTAGCTAGCACAGCCCAATGCTGTGGGGACACAGACTGTTGTATGTAGCATCTTGCTTATTGTTAGGGCTCAACACATCTCAAATAATAGCTGCAACAGCTGTGAGAGGAATCCAAGGACCAATTTGTTGGAATAAAGCAAAACAGGGCTTTACCATATGGGAGAGAGATCTCAGATGGGTTTATTAGATGTAAGATGATTTTTCTTATAGCCTAAGGGCTTTCTGGAGGGAATCTGAAATCTTTTCACTATGCCTACATCATTGCCAGATGTGGATATAGTGAACTAGACCTTATCCTATGTGTGTGTGTGTGTGTGTGTGCACATGTGCATATGTGCATGTGTAAAAGTGGCAAGTGTGGTTCATACACCAAGTTTCAGTTTATCTTACTCTCATAGTTTATCACACTCTCACTTTCTTACGCAAAAATTTCTTCACAATCCTTCTAAATATGCAGCAGGACTTTCTCCCTGCCCCATCTGAATATATTATGGGTTATATTATGTTCACCAATATGTAAAACAAGTGACAATTAAATAATGGTAAAACATGGTAATTTCATAAAGGACTATACTGGAATAGTGGGATTTAATGGAATGCTCCACTAAAATTTAAAAATTCATAATGATTATTGATATCATTAATCAGAATTTTTCATGTGAACAGCTCAGGGATCTGTTGAATTACGCTGTCATGTGGTTGCAATCATACCTTTTCAACTGCTATCACAGGTAACTGTCAGCAGCACCATATCTTCCCTCCCGTCTATTATGGCTTCAGGTCCCTAGGGTTCCATCCAGAGTCCAGGGCGATTTGTACTGCACACTAATGACCTGCTGATTGCACGAAAGCAAAATCCTACGCTGTTCAGGCAACACAGTGATTCCACACAAAAGCAAAGGACTGTCTGGTGTCAAAATAATACTGTTCCCTAACTTTGACAAAGATTTTTAACTGACTACAAGGTACTATTTGGTGCTAAAGCATATGGCAGAAATAATGTTTATTCAAATAACTACCAAGCTGGCAGCAGGAAGATTTCAGGAATGTGTGTGTGTGTGTGTGTGTGTGTGTGTGAGAAAAGGATGATGCTCAGATAAATGTTTCTGTTTCGATTTTCGGTTCTAATTTTGAAACTATAGAAATTAACTTCAAAAGGATAGAAACTAGCAAACATCTTTGTTTCAGTTAGGTATTTACTCATATTGGTGATTACCAATATACATTTTAAATAATGTCACTAAAGGGCTTTCTTACTAGCTAGTGAAAATGTAGGGTGCACATTATATTGATCTATTTTTCTACTTACTTCCTGAGTATGGTCTGCCTCAGGTGCAGGTTTGGGACTGTAGGGGGCCAGGCGAAGCCATCTCAATACTCTGCCTGGATGTCACTGTCCCACCCACAGAGTCTCCCCTCTAAACCTGGACCAGTGCTGGAAATCATCTAAAATCCTACTCTGCCTCTCTTTTTCCTTGCCCTGCACTCCACTGGCTTGATAGTCTGGCTTGGTGTGTCTGTCTAATGGACTGGTTCTTCCCTTGGGACTTGTCAGCAAGTCATTTATCTGTTTAGTGATGGAGGATTCCTGCTGAGATTCTGACCTGGATTCTAAAGCTTTATTCCAAGACTTGACTTGTTTGTTTGTTCATTCATGTATTTATTCTTTCATGAATTTGATGACTATTTTAAACCTGTGGTTGTATACCAGGCACTATGCTAACCACTGGGACAATAACGATGAATAAGATTTGGTCTCAGCTCTCAAGCTCCCCTTAGTCCTGTAGGAGTCACCTGGCAACTACCAAATGCTCAACAGACTGTCAAGGATCCCTTGTCATCTCAGTCCTGAAAAGATTTAAAGAGAATGCGAGTTGCAACATGTTGGCAAAAGGAGAGCTCCCCCACTAAACTGTGAACTTGCTTAGTGCGAGAAGTGAGCCTTGTCCTTGAAATTATTTAGGGCTCTGAGCACAGGAAGGAGATAGAGCATATGTTCTTTAAGATGTTGGTGGATTTTTTTGGATGTCTAAGAGAAGAATCTTTAGGAATGCACAATAAATCACAAATGCCAAGAGTAGGGGCTTTAGGGTCAGTTTTGGGTTTGAGTTTTACTGATATAGCTTCACTTAGTAACCACCTCATCAAATTTGTTCATCCATTTCAAAACAGAGTGTGTTTGGCACCTATGATATGCCAGTGCATTTGCTGGGTTGTAGCTTCAAGAATGAACATGATAGAAACAGGATCTTCCCTATGTAGCTCACAGCAGGGGAGCTATGGGGATCTCAAAATATCTCAAAATAGGTTTCCAACAAAGTGTGTTAAGTTCTGTGAGACAGGACTAGTACTGTTGTCTCGACTGCCTCAGGGGAGAGGTTAGGAGGTCACGGAGAAGAGTGTTCCAGGACATAGGGACACCTGGCCAAGACCTGGAGGTAAGAACGATCCTAGTGTACTCCAGGGACTTAAATATATTCAGATCATTGACTTGTCACCTGCAAGGAGAGGAGCTTGAGAGCAGGCTGGGGAGGTGAGCAGGGCCAGATCCTGAAGAGCCTTAAGGGCCTTGTGCCAAGCAGTTTTAAAGTCATTGAAGATCAAAGAGAATTTATTGGAGGGATTTGAGCAGGACAGTGGCACAATGAAATTTGCATTTTAGAACTACTGATCAGGTTACATGTTGGTTAGGAGATGGAGAGGGTGAGAGATATACCAGTCAGAAGGGGTTTGTAGTAATCCAGGTCGAAGATGGCCCCTAGTCAATGTGGGAAGAGGAAAATGCATAAGCCTGAGAATCCAACAATACTTGGATCTAAAACTTACTATGTATGGACTTTTCTTCTGCAAAATGGAGTAACTTTGTCTCTCTGCTGTGGAACATAAATGGAATACTGTGCCTAGCCAGCCAGGTATCAGTGACCACCACTTGAGTGACGGCCCCTTCCTGTTGCCACCAGCAATCCTCCTCCTGCCTCTCCACTTGGATTTCTTCTCCTTTAGTGCATAACTTGATGTTTTTGAACAGCATCTTTTGTTAACGTGTTGGGTCCTTTTTATCCCTGGACCATGTCCATAGTGAAGGCATCTCCTTTTCCCCTTCCTCTGTTGTGACTATTGCATTCTCCCAAAACGTTCTGGGCCATCACAAGATACCTTTGAAGAAGCTGGTTCTGTGGACACTTTGCTCCAGTCTGGACAATGTTATAACCAATGAAAACTAAGCATAGCAAAACAAAATCTTTTTCCCTTTTGGAACTTTCTGGTAACTGCGTTCTTTTCTGCAGGCCCTCAGAAGGCAGCTTTGGTGTTATCTTTGGCTGTCCTCAGGGCTGCTTCTTAAGCATTTGTAGAAAGAGAACATTGTATTTTTTTTACAGAATAGACCTTATTTTCACTCTGAGAATTCCAAAATCCTGTCATATTTTCCTTTCTGACATCTCTAAGACTCATCTTTCCCACTGGTCTCCAGTAGCTAAAATACTTTCCCATATTTTGGCCCTCTTTTACTTCTACTCCCTAGAAATGCCTCCATTGTTGTCTCTTTTCTTGAGTTCTGTCTGTGTTAAAGCAATCTCCTTGGTGCCTTCATTGCACCTTTTAAAAATGTCCTAATTGGCTTCTGTCATCTGCATTATCTCTGGACTTCTGAGACCTGTCCTGCTCTTCATTGTGGGATTATATTTTTCCCTGTTGGTTTCCTATATTTCTCCTTAATTTCTTAATACCCGATTCCTTATAGTTGCTCTTTTCACTTCTCTCATCCACTTTTGTTTTTCCCTGGCAGTTTTCAATTTGTCTTCTCCCCGGCCAAGGGCATTTCCTTTCCTTCTTATGTGCCAAACCCAGCCTCAAACGAGTCGCGTCCTGAAATCCCTCTCTTGCTTCTCTCAAGCTCTCTTCCCATGTTTGCTAATGTCTCCCTCTTCATGATCACGGTCCTCTCTTCATTAAGTGATGCTATAACTATAAGGTAGAGTATACATATATGCCCTTTGGATATCAGCAGATATATCATCTATTAAGGAAGCTCTTTGCTATTAGATGATTTACGTCTATTCTCTTGCCCCCATTGCCACTGCCTTGTTTGAGGTTGACAATTGGAGGCACCTCCCATTTGGTCTCACTGCCTCAGCTATCCCTTCCAGCTATTCTCCCCTTTATGTCTTTCTCAAAAATGTCTTCTTGATGTGGTACCTTTCTCTTCTCAAACAAAACCAAACAACCAAGCTACTGGCTTTCCCTGCCCTGTAGAGTGAGATTTACCTTCCTCAGGTGTGCATCAAGAATCTTCATACTGTGGCTCCTCCTCACCATTCCAGATTCACCCTGTCACTTTTTTTGATTGAAAATCTGAAATTCCAAATTTTTACTGCAAATCTGTCACAGAGAACTGCTGAAGGAGGCAACTTACTATACACAGAGGTTGAAAGTGGACTGCTACAGGCCAAATTTGGTCTGCAGAATTCTTTGCCATTTTTAAAAAATCAAAAGATTTCATGTAAAGGTCTGTTTTGCTGGTTACTCTCAGAAAACATGGCAATACTGCCCCATATGCCCACCTAGCCACAGGAGGCTGGAGTTGAATGGTGGCTGCCTTTCTTCTCCAACTTGCCACAGTTGCTGCCACTCGCATCTATATTTCCAACTTTGAGGCAAAGTGTCATTTACCATTTATCATGGCTCTTTTGGTTTGTCTTTCCTCATGGTGTTAGGAGAAAATTGTACCATGTATCTGTGGATAAATAAAAGGGGCAGATACAGCTCTGCATTTCAAGAAACACATGGGACCCACTTCATTCTTTCATCCTCCTGGCCACTGTAGGCGTCTGAGCTTGTATCTCCGACAAAGTGGCTGAGCACTAAGAGTCTCTTAAAATTCTGGCTCCATCACTTACTAACTGTGTGGCTTTGGGCAAGATTCTTAAGCATTCTTTGCCTCACTTTCCAGCTTTCCAGTTTGCAATGTGGGGAGGACAGTAGTGTGTACCTCACAGAGCTTCTGTGATGATTATATGAAATAATCAGTGTACAGAATTTAGTAGAGGGATTGAAACATGGAAAGCATTCAATAAATCCCAAATTATTTAACCTCATTATGTCTCCATTTTGTCATCTGTAAAATGTTAACAATACTAGTGCTCACATCTTTGTGATGTATCATCTGAGATAACCATGTACTGTGTATCATGGGTGTCTGCCACATAGTAAGTATGCAGTTATTGTATATTTATATATAATAATACAGCTGTTATTAATAAGCTAGCTATTATTGTCATAGCTTCCCTGGCAAAATTTTGCCTGTTATTCCTGAGAATGTCACTTGATAGTTGTAGAACCCAGGATGCCAGGGGACCCACCTGTGTGTATATGTGGTGCCCATACACCTACAGGGGCTTTTTGAAAATTGAGATATAATTCATATGTCATAGAGTTCACCATCTTAAAATGCATGATCCAGTGATTTTTTTAACATATTCCAAAAGTTGTACAGTCATCACAACTATCTAATTCCAGAAAGTTTTCATCATTCTCCAAAAGAAACCCTGTACCCATTAGGTGTCATCTCTCAAACCTACCCCCCAGCCTTCGCAATCTACTTTCTGTCTCTATGGTTTGCCTATTCTAGACAGTTTCATGTAAGTAGAATCATACAATATCTGGCTATATACATGGGCTTTTGCCTGTGTGTTTCCCTGAAGGATAAAGCTGCACCCTTTTCCAGAAAACAAATTCCCACAAGGTGAAGGAGGCAATAAGCAGAAACTAAGAAGAAGGAAGATAGCAGAGGCCAAGACTGAGCTAAGAGGAAAAAACCAAACAGAGACATGGGTTCTATGGAACAGTTTGAGCAGGCTAGGAATGCCGAGGAGCTGCGAACCAAACCAGCAGTGTAGAACGTAACCAAGCTAGATTCCTTTGGATTCTTTATAGCCTGGTTCTCAAAAATGCTATAAAGATCTCAAGTGCTCATCCGTGGATTCATCTGGGAGTTGGTAAAAAACAAAAAACATAGATTGTGGGCTCTTCTTCAGTCTCACTGAATTGGAATCTCCAGGGTGGGGGTCTAGGACTGCCATAGGATTCTGCCAGGCAGTAGGTTTGGAAATCAATTATATGGGACACGCTTGTGTGACAAGCAGAGTTGTGTTGTGTTCCATTTTCCAGTGATAGTACTCTGCCACGCTGATGCTCTTCCAAAGTATATGTGTCTGATCTTCCTAATAGATTGTTTATAACTAGGCCTTTCTTTTCTTTGTCCATCTCAGTTCCCAGCAGTCTTACACGGAGAAGGGGTTCAGAATATGTTGAAAGACTGGTTATACAGGAACCTTGAGGGTATCGCTGGGATATTGCTAGCCACAAAGTCATTAAAGTCAACAGGGTCTAAGAAGAGATCTTTCTGGCACTTTCTGAGTATCATTTCTTTGGCATTTTGAGGCTAGAATTTGTCTTCAGGACTCTGATTGCGCCCTAATGACCGTGAGCCCTTTGATCTTTGGGCTCCAGAGAGGTCCCCTGAAAAGCCCCCCATGGGACCCTCCAGCTGGCTGCATGGTGCCGGCAGGTAGAGTGAAGTACAGCCTAGTGACAAGTACACCTGCGCCTCACAGAGCAGAATCCCACACGGAGACGGGTAACACTCCTATGCTCCCCCGACCGGGCTTGTCCAGCAAGGGGAAATCGCTACTTCAGTATTACCCGAACACTGCTTGAGAACTGGAAGAACATGAGCCTCCTGCCTGTGTCTGGAGCAAAGACAACGTGTTGTGCTCATGGGGATTTACTTAGGCAGGGCTGCGGCTGGGATTTGGGAGACCTTGGCTCAGTCTTGGTCCTACATTTTAGTCAGTCCTGTGTGACATGGGGTAAGCCACTCACCTTTCCGTTTGCTTCTTTGTAACGTGAGGGGTTTGAACAAGGGAGACACCTGGAAGGCAGACATGATCTATGGTATCCGTAGGCTTCTCTCTGGGCTTGGACCTTAGTTCTAATGGATTCTCCTCAGCCTGGGCTTAGCAGCTGTTACATGTCACTGGAGGTGGAGTCGCTGAAGCCCCTGGAAGTTTGCTGGCTGGTGTGGAATGGTGATGAGATTAAACAAGAAGTATGGCAAGCCTTCTTCTTTCCTTGTCCACTCATTCCCCCTCTCTCCTCTTCCCATATTCCAGTATTAAGAGCTTCATGTATTAAGAGCTCTCTTTTAAAATTGTAAATAGCCTGTGGGATTGTTAAGGCCACCAGTTGTTATACTCTAGTATATGAAATACTCAAATCTGGATGTTTTGTTTAACTAGCTCCTGTCATATTAAGGAAAGGTAAGTGGGTAGGTAATAGCAAATGCACAGTGGATTCCTAGAGCCAGAGGAAGGGGACAGAGTGGCACAGTAAGGGAGGGATGGCAGCCAAACACAGTCATTGGTTTAGTGTTTTTGCCCAGTACCTTGGCAGTGGTGTCACAATGCATCTCCCATTATGCTTTTGGCAGAGATGCCCTAGACTAGCGATGCTGCATCTAGGTCATCTTTGGACCAAGTTCTTATTAGTCTGTCTTATTTTGTTAATGACTGTGGGAATCGATCATTTTGGTTGCCCAGGAACTGGATAAGGCTTGCAGGCTTGGGCCACTGTGCTTCTAACTTTCCATGGGATCTTAAACCCAAGTTTATCTCTAAACATTATTATTTAAGCTCTCATTCACAAACCACAACTCCTTCCGGGTCAGCCCTGTGAAACACTGAAGCAGCAGCAGCTGTTTTTGGACTCTGTGGCCTGTCTTTCCTTTTGCCCTAATATGTCCCTCCCTAGGCCACTCATTCTACATTCTTTCTGCATCAGATTCACTTGTATTTAATTGCAATGATAATTTTTCCTCTTTCTTTGGAGCAGCAGAGCAAATGAAGGAATGGAGTATACTTAGGCATAGTTAGTATGTTCCTGTAGTCTCTGCCCTATTGTCTTGAAAACCACAGACTTCATTTTGATGCCAATGAATCCATCATTGGGTTTGTTTAAGCCATGTATTTACCAAGACCCTCCCTTGAGCAGTGGCTTAACTTTTTCCTCTTTGATTTATAATTTCACAGTTGCTGAGGCAGAAGGAAAACTCACTCCTTTGGAAGAGCGTGGCCTTTTCCTATATTGCTTCCTGCTGCTGCCACTGAGCTTCTTGAACCTTGGCCCCTGGACACCATCAGCAGGAACGCCAGATGGATGGGCTGCCTGATCCCTGAAGGAAGAGGAGCATCAATGGCAGTCTCTAACTAGATTTGTCCTCTTTGTTTCAAGTAGTGGCTGCCATCAGGGTCAGATTAAAGACAGACCAGCTGGACAACTGTTTGGAGGACTAAGCTATAAGGGCACTAAAATGTCCATAGTGTGCTAACACATCCATGAAAATGTAAGGAGAGGAAAATAATACCAGCATTCTTTTAGGGAGAATTCTGTGGAGGGCTGGAAGAGATGTTTGATAAACTCTTTAGGGGTGGAAAACAGGAATAATCATAAAGCAAGAAGTAATCTATTTCTTCTTCAGTTCTAAGATGTTAGCCCTTGGTGCATCCATTCCCTTGGGGGTAAGGCTTGTTAATTAACAGAGCATGGGGATGTTTTACTTGCAGGGCTGTTTTTCCTACTAGGATATATATAAAGTGGATGCCCCAGTTGGATTGCTTGTGACCATGGAGGGTAGGCAGACAACCCCAGTTGTCCTCCTGCTGGGGTCTTCCCTACACAGATTTCAGCCTGCCCTCTAGTAAAGATCTAGCAAGTAGCTGTTTGAAGGAGATACCAGTTAATTAGCCAATATGTTGTTGCTGTGTACTCTAGGGCTTGAAAATGAAGATATAGTTATAGACAGTCTATCTTCCAGTTCTAAGATGTTAGCCCTTACTGCATTTTCATTCACTTGAGGGTGAGGCTTGTTAACTAATGCAGCAGATCAAGTCAAATGGACTTGAACTCTGCTTACTGGTTGGGTTGATTAGATCAATGGAGACACCAGGTAGAGTTGGGTATCTTTACAAATATTTGGCTGAAGGGTGATATTGCCAATTATTTGTAGATGAGGACATCAAGGAATATTTTTGGAATCATGAAATTTGGAACTGGTGTTCACATCCATAATTCAACAAATAATTAAATACCTACTAGATACTGTGGATACTTAGGAGCAAGACAGATCATGGCTCCTACCTTCATGGAGCTCACCTAGCTTTCTCTCAGATGTGAAGAGCAGTGGCCCCAGCAAACAAGTGACCACATAAATATTCTGGAGCCCAAGATTCCAATAATTGAGTAATTCTGTCCAGGTAGGGAGAATCTAGGTGACTACTTCCTAAGCTTAAAATAAAAACCAGCACTCAGTAAATGGACATCTTTCATGTATACTGTACGTCAGATATTCACTGGCTGGCAACCTCTAAAAAGGAAAGGAAAAACACTAACCAGACTAAATGATATTGCCATGAATTCTTATCTCATTGTGAATCCTGTATTAGTGATTTCTCCTCAACTTTGTTTCTTCCATCATTAGCAACTCTGATATGTATCTCTAAGTGTAGAAAATACGTCAGGGAAAAATCAATCTGTGGAACTTCATTTTCAGAATTGCTGACACAAATTGCTTGGTTTGAGAGTTTTATACTGGAAAATAGTTTTAGGAACTTCAGTGTCTGGCTTAAAAGGTAGAATTAATTACTCTTGGCTCTCAATTTTGCTTCCCATTTGAGGTCAAGGAATATATTGACACCTCCAGTTAATGCCTACACCTCTCTGTGACCAGGAGCTTTAATCTCTATTGCTTTCAGTTTTTGCAGAGTTACATCTACTATGTGGCCTGATCAGTGCTTCATCTCTTCTCCTGGTTCTTGCTTTCCCTCTTGCAAATATACTAAAAACAGTGTAAGGTTCACAAACTCTCAGCTGATAGGACTTAGGAGAGAAACAAAGGGCTTGGTAACTAACATAAATGGAAAATCGACCCTGGAATAATTGACAGCATATTTAAATATTAAAACAGTCAAGTATTACTCCCATTAAGCAGAAGCAGTATCAGTAAATCTATATGACTCTAAACATTCTAATGAAAAGGAAAACTTTTTTTTCTTATGCGCTGGAGAAGCTGTGGCAGAAAAAAGGAACATTCTGTCAACCATCTCATATTTCCAAATACCTGGATATTAGCCATTGTGAGGACAAAAATTACAGATAATGGACTGGTCTTCCCACCTCTCATTTTCATAGACTGAAATTTTATAGCTCCAGCCACTGACTCTAAGGCAATGTACATTTTCTATGTCTCTCTTGAGAGAAAACAAAAATCTTATTTTTCCAAGCAATTAAAACTTTTCTGCTTCAGCTAGGATGAAAGAATTAGGAGTTCTGTCTCCTTCTATATAATTGCATATTTCATCTTTCTTGTTTTAAAGTTTGACAGAAAACTGATAAACTGAGACATCTCTGAATCAGTATTGAATACTCTTTTGGTGGCTCCATTGATAATTTGACTATTTTGCAGGATTTCTTACTCTGTAATGGAAAGGTTTATTAAATATAAGTGGTGCAAAGCTTTCTGAATAGTAATGAACTTATTTGCCAAAATTTAAGTGTTCCTTCTTATCACTGAATGCCTGTCTCACTTAACAGGATCCAAACTGAATAATGAAGAAAATTAGACTACTGTACTCTTGAGAGAAATTGTAATAGAATAGTGAGAAGGATAGGGGTCATATTTTAGAAAAAAGAGTAGATTATTTGGATGTTATAAGAAAGGATTAACTCAGAGAAACCCAACTCTTTTCAAAGAAATATACTCATAGTAATTCAATGAGCAGGATTTCCCACTGCATAAGCCATCTACACCTTTGGGTTAGCTTAGAATGACAGTAAAGTCATAATCTCTTGGAAATGCATGCTAGGTTTTGGTGGTTACAATTTACCAACCTTATCTTAGTGCAAGGTGTCATATACCTGTGATGGAATAGGAAACTCAGTAAACCTGAAAAATGAGCACAGATCTCTGGTGATGTATAGTAGGGAGATTCTTCCTTTAAGTGTGGTGTAATGAGGCTGTCCCTCGGTTAATATGTTTGCTTCCATTGCCGTGGTGTTATCGCTGATCAAGTTGATTGTGGTGTCCTCACCTTGCCAGCATTCCACAGTCATTGTGGGACCAAGATGGCTGCCCTCCTGACAAGGAGACAGGCTGGGAGAACTTCAGCAGGCACACGAACCGTTGAACATGGTCAGACACAGAAACTGAGTGCATGTATAGGGTAAAATAAAGTGATAGAGGGGAAGTGAGGAAGAATATAAAGGCGAGACTGTGCACAGGCAGGAATTCATCCCTGTCACACTTAAAATAGGAACGTATCTGTTGGAAAAGGATAAGGGGAGGAAGGATCCTAAAACAAATGAAATAAAGAGAATGAATGTTTCCATAGTTCACTAAAATTAATACCCTGAGATTTCATGATGAGGAAAAGAAGACCAAGGGAAAGGAAGAAGGCCCTGAAGCCTGTGGAGTTTCAAAATCAGACAAAAACACTGATGAACATTTTTAAAAATTACAGTCATTCTCTTATAGGAAAGAGGCTGGCATTACCAGAGAGTTTGATGACAGCAGGATTTGTATCTAGGGTTTCACTTTCAGTTTCTAAGAGAAAAGTTTTATATGACATATATTCAAAAGACTTTAATATGTTTTTTGGCTATGACATAGGGCTTCAATTGCAAAGGGGAAAAAGAATGGTCAGTGCATCTCAGGTAAATGCCAACCAGCTGTGCAGTATTTTATTTGAGATTTGTATTATCCCCAATTAAGTAAAAATGAAAGAGACCTGGTATATTTGATTGTCTCTGTGGGAAAGCTTGAAAATTAAAAACCTAGATATCCCCTTTGGAATGATAATTTCATATTAAAAGTTAATTAAGTAAATATACAGCCTGGGGACATTAAGATTTGTCTTTACCATTTCAAATCATGAGCTGTGCCTTTAGAAAAAAAGAACTTGGAAAGTGGAAAGTAGGAAGGAGAGGGGCAAGAGATGACTGATGGGTGGGTGAGTGAGAAGGGGGAAATGAATGCTGCCCACCCAACGCAGCTGCACAGTTCAGGAGGAAACTAAATGAACAATAGAGTTTGAAGGATAAGTGGGTAATGAGGACTATGAGACAATAAGACATTTAGAAATAGGAAATTACTAGGAAAAGTGAGGATGAATGATGAATTATAAGGGAGATGATTAAGGGATGCAGGAAGGCAAGGAAGGGAGGAGGTAATTGGGACAGGAAACAAAACGTGACTAATGGCTGTAAAGGGCAAGCCTGAACTCTCAATGGCATGTCCCCCAACCTTCAGAGACACACTCAACCTAGGAATAAAGGAGGAAAAGATGAAAAGAGTTCATGGTTAACATGAAATCGTGAGGACAATAAAGTAAGCAGCAAGCACTATTAGTCCTCAGGAATGAAAGCATTTCTAGATAAAATATATTAGTCTAGGTTCTTCATTCCCCTATGAGTAAACTCATCTTCACCCACCTCTTACAAAAGTCTGAATTATAAAGTGAGCACTGGGAAAGAAAAGATAAGCATCACCGGGGAAAGTGAAGAATGACTGCACCTAGAACAACCGAATGGGGGGAATATATGAGCAAATCTGTTCACAGCCTTTTATATAAAAATTTGAAATCCAGTCTCTTAATGGAAGAACTGGAGTTAATTTATCCAAGCAGAAACATGGGCACTGGTGAGGGAGAAAGTTTTAACTGTTGTCAATATTTTGGAATATATTCTCCCACAACAATTTTTTCCTCTTAAAAATAAGTGAGATGAAGTTAAAAAAGCTTCTAGGTATTGCTTTGGACACTTTGGACGATAGGATTTATAGCAATTCCCAGTAGTAGAAGTATTCCCATAGTAGAAACAAAGGTAATTTTTCAAGAAGATGAATATCTGAAGCAGGTCTAAATGCCTGTGATTATCCTTTTGCTTATATGTGTGTGTGCAGGGGAATCCTTTCAGTCAGACGGTACAGGACCCCCTTCGGAGGGAAGCTGATAAAGTAATTTAGGTGGAAAGGCCTAATGAGATAATGATGCTAAGGCCAGTTAACACCTAATAAGAACATAACCACCAGGGATGATATTGTTGCTTATTAATTATAATGATGATGTGGAGGAAAGAGACAAGGTGGCACTCATTTAACAAAAAGCACTCTGGAGTAAAGCTGTTTTCCCAAAGGGCAAGTTGCAGTCAGTTAAGAGTTAGAAGTAGGGCAACATTTAGCCGAGTTTCAAATTTATGGCAGTTGGGTTATACTGGCGACCACAGAACTGGAGGCCAAGCAGGAGGTAACAGATGCTTTCCTGACGGTGGAGTGGAGACGGCTGCGGTCGCAGGGCCAGGCGGTGCACGGAGTCAGAGGCTCCAGGCTGAGATCTGGGGGCGGTCTGCTTGCCTTAGATCCCACAGTGGTCATTCGTGGGCAGACAGGCTGGTGTCCAGAACTGGACTGGCTGTGGCTTCCCAGTGCTGTGACCTTCCCCTCCTCTCCACTTGGTCCTGTGAATCAGACCCGTAGTGAGGCTCTTCAATCGGTGTTGGCGCCCTGCCCTGCTGAGGGAGCCCAGAAGATCCTTTGGTCCTGTTTCTAGAGGCTCAGATCTAGCCTTCATCTGCTGACTTAATTTAAGGTTTCTTGGTGTGAGTCACTGCCCCCATTCTACTTCCTGAATTCCCTGTGGGGTCTGGGCACCTCCGCGGCAGGGCAGGGGAACTGTCACATCAGTTCATTGCAGATACACTATTGTCTGTATTAGTCACCCAGGCAGGAGTTGAGAATGTGAAGCACCAGCAGCTATGTGACAAATATGAAGCTTCTGGAAGTCTTGTGAGTCCTCAGAGGAAGCACAGAAGCTTGAAATTCAGGACCAGTCTGGGGAAGCAGATCTGGGACCCAGTAAGGACCAGGATGCTCTCCTCTTATTCTCTGCCTTACCCCTCAGGGTGAGTCTCCATCTGAGACCTCTTCCCAGGCAGGTACTCATTGCTCTCTGGGTCTTTGGATGCCACCTCCACAGTGATGGGGGTGGTTTTCCACACCTTCCTGTGCTACTAATTTTACTAGCTGGATAAGGGCCTTCTCACATGATTTTTCTTGTTCTATGTGATGGTGTCACTGATCTGCCATAGGAAGGAAATAACAATCTCATCGTTAACTTTTTAAAGCAAGTATATTTTATTTTTATCAAATTTGTGGTTTGGAGGTGAAGTGAAAAGTGCTGGACTGGAAGACAGAAGATATAATTCTAGCCCTGACCCTTATACATATCAGGCCTGTAACCCTAGGTAAGTCTCTTGCTTTTCTGAGCCTCAGTTTTCCCATCCATAAAAAGAGGGGTTGGTGAAGGTAGTCTTTATGACATTGAAGCCATTTCCACCCTTAAAATTCTGTATTTAAGCACATATGTTCATAAGGTTCCTACATCTATTAAACCTTCATACGAGCTGTAATTGGTAAGCTTGTAGGATGACAAACATTGCCTTAAATCCTTGGCTCAGAGTGGTCAATTAAGGTGGGGGCTACCAATGAACCAATGACAGAACTATTTCTTGAGCACTAACTACGTAGCAGCCACACACCTCAAAGGCAGGTGCTTTACAGGTGAGGAAACGAAGGCTTCAAAAGGTGAAATAGGTCATCCCAGATCATCCTGTTAAAAAGGTGGCAGAACCCATATTTAAACCCAGGTCTCTGTGCAACTGAAACCCCTGACCTGAATGACCACTGCGTGCATCTCCCACTATTTAGAATCCAATATGATGTCCCATACCTGACGGCACCAGTCACTGACATTTTCTTCAGTCATAATGGTTCTCGACTAGTGACAGAAGGAAGGTGCAAGGCAGGGAGTGGTGTAAGACAGCCCCCGCAATTTGATTCTTATACACACATCTTTCTGCCTCTAAACCCACCTTGAAACATCAACTGGCCAGAGTCAATATGATTACCTAAGTAGAAATCTTTCTGCATGGACATGTGCTCGATTTTGCTTCTTTCAGCAGGGCTTGGATACAATTATTCCTTTTGTCTTCCTACTGGGAAACTGAAGCAAAGAGCACTGAATAATGTAGCTACATGCACCCAGTGGTCACAGAACTGACATGGAGACTCATACCTTAAGACTCCAGCCACCACAAGACATTGTCTTTCTAGTCAATTCAATTAATAATATATTTTATATAAAGGGACAAATGTCACTTCCTCCTCTTCCCCCTGGAGTTTCCTGTGACATTATGACAAATCCTATTGTTTCAGTGACATTAATTTATTTGGAATATCTGTAAAATCAGTCTCTCTGAATAGTAGTAACTGCACTAGCCATTGACAAATACCAAATGCAGGAGAATGTTTTTTAACCAAGCATTTATATGAAAAAAAATGACTTTTTAGACTTCCATTGACTGGTTCCAGAAAAATGCTTCATTGAGGTTGTTAAGAGGGGCTGCTCAATGTTCATACCTTTTTTGAAAGTAATACAAAGAATCAATTCTATTTTGAAAATAAGAAAATTAACACCTAGAATTTCAAATTGCTTTTCAATAATTATTTGATGCTGCATAGACAGGGCACCAGACTTAGTCCTAATTCACAACTCTTCATAACCTAAGTGCCGTCATTTGGTCTCCTTCCTGTATCCTGGTTTCTTCCCTTTCCATTTACTGAATAAATTCTGAATTGTTGCTCAGTACAGTTGCATTCAGGTAATTGTAAAAAATTAGAAAAACTGTAAAAAATTAGAAACTTAGAAATGTAAGAAGTTAGAAAATTA